AAAAAAAAAACATGGCGCGTAACCGAAAATCGTGAACAATTTTTTACATATTGCTATAAAATTTCTCTCATACGTCCATAAAGAAGTTTCACTTCAATAATTCAAAGCAGATATTTAATAATTTACTCAATTACACCAGTTATAAGTAAATAATTGGAATTGTCTATTCAAAGTAATACAATTATCTGCAATGATTTTATAGAATTCAAAATGAATAAATAAATCATTAAAAAGATGTACGTATACATATTTTTATTTTCTAATTGTATTTTGTTTTATTTTAAAATTATTATTTAATTGTTTTTAGAATTAATAATGTTACCTAGATTTCTTCTTTACGTCGCTATACTGAACTTTGATAAAAAAAAAAAACATGGCGCGTAACCGAAAATCGTGACCACTTTTTTACATTGCTATAAAATTTCTCTCATACGTCGATAAAGAAGTTATTAATTATGTGAGGGGAAGAAATGAATAAATAACCAATTAATCAAGTAAAGGCGAGCTTTAAAAGTATTTTAAGACTTGTAGAATTTTTATTAAAATAAAAACTCATATTTTTTATTAACTTTGTTCGTTTTAGGGATTGAGGTTATGATTTATGGAACAAAGCTCGTAAATCTGACGAATTTGATCAGGGAAAAAAAAAAAATAGTAAATAACCAATTATTAATCTTGTTCTTCTGTACAACATACAGAGTAACTTGATTATCAAATGTTAACCAATCGAATCGAAATTATTGGCACGATTACATCCTATACTTATCATAGAGGTGTTAACCTCTGTCAACAATGTTTCTTGTCACCAACCCGACGGCCAATTGTTGCGTCAGACCTTGAAAAGCAAAAAAGTAAATAAATAAACAAAGAAGAAATAAAAGTGTAATTAATTTTAGGGAGGCGGGATTTTATTCGAGGACTCACCGTTGATATAATTGTAAAGAGCAAGACAATGAAGAATGTATTACCTGTCTATTCTGGACGTTTGGCAGCAATAATGCCTCCCAGGGACACCCAGAGGTTGCTAATGTGCATAAGTTATGATATTAACTATAGTGTAGTACAGTAATGTAGTATAATGTTGTATTTCAGATGATCAAAAAAGCCCGTCTCGTTCTCTCATGTCTTAAAACTGATGCTACCCTGAAAAATGCCGTCTAATGACGCTCATGAGCACAAAGGCCGCGTGAGTTCTAATTTCGTATTATCTTTTTCCCCTGGTTTAACTATAAATAACTAAATGTAAATGTAAGTGTGTAAAATTTCTTTTTACTTGTTTTATATTTTTAAACTATTATTGTTATTGTTATTGTATTTGTAGGTTAATGCTGAGCACCGAGCTGTTATTACTTAGTAACATCTAACCTGTTGGAAAAAAAATAAAAAAAAAAATAACGACGCAAGTGGAGGTTATTTATTAACAGTCAACATACCTTTTTTATTCTATTTGCGCCAACTTTATGAAAGCTTCAATTTTTTTTAGCTTTCTTTCCTAATGAACACTCAAAATTTTCTTTTTCCACCGAGTCATTTGCCAAAAGCTTACCGCTTACTAGTCATAAATAAATTGATGGCTATGACAGCTGAGTTTAAGCATCTGGACATCCGCTTTAATATTTTATTTAACGTGTTATAATTGATTTATTTTCTTTAGGACGTTGACCTTTGAGTTACCGAAGAAATTTTACTTTGAAAAATACCTTTTGCGAAGAAACACTTTTAAGTTTCCGTTTTTTTTAGGTTAAACAAAGTTTTTTAACCTAAATAATTATTTATTATAGTTTTTAGAGGTTAATTTTAATTAAAAGAAATTTTTTATGCAACTTTGTTGTCTAATTTAATTAAATTTAAAAAAAAAGAAAGAAGAATTGTTTTAACCTAAAAAAAAATTCTTGTTTTAAATTTAATTAACAGGTACTTTAAATATAAAATAGTTATAAAATTAAAAAAGAAGACATTTAAATATTTATAAACTAAAAAGATTAATTTATTATGTATTTTTCAGAAATGTCAAAAATTATATAAACAAAAAACGAGTAAATATAAACTACAAAAAAGCGTGTTAATATTTCAACTTTTGAAGATGAGTATAAAAAAAAATTTTTATTTAAAAAAAAAATTCTATTAATTTTAAATTAAAAAAGAAGTTTATGTAAAGAAGTAATAAAATTAAGTAAATTACTAAGTCTTGATAAAAATAAATTACAAATTGCAGATGCTAATTGTGAAGATAAATTTGGAACAAAGCCTAATTGCATAACAATTAAAAAAATAATTAAAAGAAGACTATAGATTACTCCTCTGGAGAGGTTGAGTCGAGTAGGAAGACAATGAAAAACTGTAACGAAGGTTAATCAGATTTAAAAGAAATAAAGCCGGGTTGTTGGCAACCTTCCAATTCTCTAGATCATTATTATGATCTTGATCAATAGACATCATCAAGAGCATCATCTGTGTGTTCCCTCGTTCCTCGACCCCTCGGCGTATCTTGGAGGTGATCTTCTTGGTTCGTCCACCAGGTAGCGGTATCCCCGACTATTTAAACGAATTTCTAGGATCTACGGCGCCCCGTTTCGCTCAGCAGCGCAGGCGTTGCCGTATCATAACGTTTTTTTTCTCTATTATTTATGTATGTTAACTTAACTTTAATAATTTAGTTTATTAATTGTAAATTATAATATTGTTTAATAGTCTCAGTTTTTATTTCTTCCCAGTATGCCGAGACTATTCTAACGGGGTTGTTTTTGGTCAAGTGTTTACTTAAGTGTTTTAATAATATTAAATAATCGGTAAGTTACACACACACCGTGTACAGTGAGTTAATTGTAAAATTAAACCTGTGCAGTGTCTATATTTAAAGTGTTTGTGCCATTAATTAAGTTCCGTCCCTTACAGTGCTTTATTAAGTGTCTGTGGATTTATATCACTATTTTTTATATCAAAGCTAAAAAACATATCTTATCCCTTAAACAAACTTATTAATTATTCTTCACGTAATTATTATTCATAACTTTTATTATTTTTTGAGAAGAAATAGAGTATTGAATAATATTAATAATGGCATTATGTCAAGAGTTACCAGTGGCAGACCCTGGCTGAATTATTCAAAGCTAAAAGTGTCTGTTGGCACATTTTTTATTTAATACTTCATTATTTTTAATAACATTTTTTTTTCTTCATTTAAAAATCCTTAAAAAAATTAAATAATTATTTTTATTTATTAGCTGACAATTTTTAGAATTTTTTAAATAATTTATGAAGATTTAAAATTTTTTTAATTTACAAGAAGAAATATTAAAAAATTATTAATTTTATTTTTAAAAAGAAGAAATAGTAAAAAGTTATTACTTAAGCTTTTAAAAAAGAAGAAATAGAAAAAAAATTATTAATTTTTATTTTTAAAAAGAAGAAATAGAAAAAAAAATTAATTTTATTTTTAAAAAGAAGAAATAGTAAAAAGTTTTTATTAAAGGTTTAAAAAAAGAAGAAATAGAACAAAAGTGATTAAATTTATTTTTTGAAAGAAGAAATAGAAAAAAAAATTATTAATTTAATTTTTAAAAAGAAGAAATTGTAAAAAGTTATTGCTTGAGGTTTTAAAAAAGAAGAAATAGAATAAAAATTATTAAATTTATTTTTAAAAAGAAGAAATAGAATAAAAATTAATTATTTTATTTTTAAAAAGAAGAAATAGAAAAAAAATTATTAATCTTATTTTAAAAAAGAAGAAATTAAAAAAAAATTATTACTTAATTATTTAAAAAAAGAAGAAATAGAATAAAAATTATTAATTTTATTTTTAAAAAGAAAAAATAGAAAAAAAACTATTAATCTAATTTTTAAAAAGAAGAAATTGTTTATTTTTTAAATTCAAAATTTGTCAGCTTCTGATTTCAGTATTGTGTAAAAAAAAATATTTCCAAGTCAAAATTACATAACATAAACAAAAAAAAAAAAAAAAAAAAAAGAAAGAAAGTGTCTTTATAAATACGCGCCAAGGGAATAGAGGAAGAACGCTTAAAATAGACTTACCGCGTCATTTCGATGAACGTTTGTCGCCAGCCAATCGCGTATCTCCACATGCTCCTTTACTGGCGCTGATTAAAAGCCACTGTGGCAAAAGCAACCGCGTTCAATTGCCCATTTCTTCTGAAAAAAGCCCGATCACTCTTAAAAAATTACAAAAATTTATTTCTTCTTTAGTAAATTAATTAATTAATAAATAAAAAATCTACAATCTCTTAATTACTTACCTCAAAAATTAATTAAAGAGCATTTAAATTTTTTCCCGCGGGCAAGTTTAAGCTTCAGCCGTCAGAGGCGCTCCGACCAATAGCGAGCTGCTCAATTTTTACGTGGTCAGTTGCGCGCAGCGAGATCGAGATTTAGTCAGCAACTCGGATATATTTTATATATAATATTAAATACACTTTATTATATTAGTAGTTGAAGTTTTTTAATTGAATTTTCGTTGCAATTTATTTTTTTTTTACAAAGTAAAGTTTCTTCTTTTTGATAGTTTTTTTTTTTTATTAAAATTTTAAGAGTTAGTTATTGGAGATGCAGGCGAAATAAAAAATGATTGTCAGGAAACGTGGTCTGTGATATTTACACGGTTACGAATTTTTTTTTCGACGCTTTTTTTTTTTTTTTTTATTTTGTAAAACTACCGAGTCATAACCTAGCGTTATTTTGTCAGTGACACGTACTATTGTGTCAATTGTAATTTGTCGGTGAGTTTGGTAAAGATGGATTAATTGAATTAATTTTTTTATAACATTTAATTAAGTTAATTATTTTTAAAAATAGTGATAGTGTCCAGTGCGTATTTTTTTGTGAAATATTAATTAATAATAATAATAATAAGAAATAATTTTTATAAAATGTAATCTTGCTAAATAAAATAATGTGAACTTTTTTTTTCAGAGTGAATGAACAGAAACTTCTGACAAGGACAGACAAAACTCAGTACATAATTAATAACGAGGAAATAAACAGAGATGGAAGACGCCCACTGTAAAACTGTGGACGAGGTGTTGAACTACTTCAACTGTGATCAGGAAAAAGGATTATCGCCGGACCAGGTCAAGAGGAACCAAGAGAAATATGGTCTCAATGGTAAGTACTGAATTTTAAGAAAAATATTTTTTTTTTTTTTGGAGCAGAAATTATGAATAATTTTTAATTTTAATTTAAAGAAAGGAAAATTACATGACATTAAAATCAGCTGTCACTTGATAATTTTTTTAACAAATAAATTTACTCCGAAAAAATAATACTAAAGTTAGCCGACGTTTTTAATTTTTTTTTTTAATAATTAAATTAAAATAAAAAAATATTTTTAAAAAAATTGCACTGACATTTTTTAAAGTTTTTTACAAATGAAAATTTTTTTTTTTATTTTTTGTAATTTTTTTAAATTTCTACATGTCAATTTTTTGTTCTAATTTTTTTTTGCCATAATTTATTTGTTAAAAAAATTCTAAAAATTATTAAATATCTAGTAAATTGATTGTTAGGAAAATTACTAGTTACAGGGTGAACTTAAAAATAATACTTTTGATTGATGAAAAAGTGCTAGAAATTATTTGGCTGTCATAACTGTCTATGTCGTGGTGACCGAGTTTTAGCTTCGTATTAAAGATATTTTTGTTTGAACTATCGAGTTTACCACCACTTGTTCTTCATTTTATCTTTGTTACTTTACTCAATCTATTTTTTCTTATAGACGTACATACGACTGTATATATTTTTTAAAATACATATTACGCGTTAAAGAGCTTTTAAAAGTCAAATGGCATAACCACGTGAACATATGTACTTTTTTAATTTATTTTTTTTAGGTCCAAAAATTATCGGTTACTTTAATGAAACTGAAATTAGCAATAATGCTAAAGTTAGCCGATTTTTTTTTTTTCAGTAATTAAATTAGAACAAAAAAATATTTTTTAAAAATTGCACTTTCAGTTTTTCAAGTTTTTTACAAATGAAATTTTTTTATAATAATTTTTTCAATAAAAAAAAAATTCTAAAAATTTTTAGATATCTTCTAACTTAATTTTCATAAATTAGCAGAAATCTGACAATTATTTGAATTTTTTTAACAAATTAATTATTATAAAAAGAATATTTTTTTAAATTTACACCTACAATTTTTGAAAATTTCTAGATGTGAAATTTTTTCACTAAAATTTTTTCTTTACAATTAAATTGTTACAACAATCTAAAAAATTCAGTATAATTTACTTTTACTGATTTATTTAGAAGATTTAATTTTTTTTTTATTATTGTTTAGAATTAAATTTTTTATTGTGAAATTTAGAAGAATCTCACGATTTTTATGAATTTTTTTATGAGAAAATTATTTAAAAAATTATTCGTGTAATTTTATGACATTAAAATTATCACTTGATAATTTTTTTATTTTTTTTTAATAAATAAATTCGTTCCCAAAAATAATTTTTAAAAAATTGCATTTTTAATTTTTCTACATGTCAATTTGTTTTTTATTTTTTTTTGCCATAATATTATTGTTAAAAATTATTAAAATTCAATAAATATCAGCTAAATTAATTTTCACGTAATTTTTTTTCAATATTTTAAATTTTTAGAAAAATAAAATTTAGATAATAATTTTATTCATGAAATAAATTTGATAAAATTTTTTAATATGATAATTTTATACTTGATCAAATTATTAAATATTAATTTTATTTATAAAATAACTAAAAAAAAAATCTTGCAATTTTTTAAAATAATTTATACAAGAGTTTATTTAATTTATATGTTAATTTTATAATAAAAATTAATTCCTTTAAATATTGGAGTAAAAAATTAAGTACCCGTTTTTTTATAAGAAATATTTCAAAAATTTTAGTTTAAAGATAAATAAATTAAAGTGTTAATTTTATTTATAAATTAACTTTAATTAAAAATTGGAATTTTTTTGAATAATTTATTAATATGTTGTTATTCTAAATAATGTAATAAAAAATCAGTTAGCTTTTTTTCATAAAAATTACAAATTTTAAAAGAATTTAAAACCACTTACTAAAGCTTTTAAAAAATTACCATATACGAAAAAGCTATTAAAAGCGTTTAATAACAAAAACTGCAATAATAAAAATAAAAAAATTTAAAAAGTGAATTGACATATCCACGTGAAAAAGCCAACAGTTATTTATAAAATATTATTTTCTTAAAAATAAAAAAAGCATAGTGTAGCACAAGTAACAGATAAAATATTCAATGACTCTGTACTCATCAACACGTTAATGCACGTGTATAAATAAAGATTATAAATTTATTTACGAGGGTAAATATAATCTAAATCTAAATAAACCATGAGCTAAAAGCCATAGCTCAGAAAATTTTGAATAGTAATAATAATAACTAAAACCAATTAATAGAGAGTTTATGAGTTTATTTTTTTAATTTTTTTCTTCACTGAATTATTTTTAGTGGTTAAGGCAATTAGATAATTTGAAGATTTAAAGACCGTTTTATTTTAGCCAGTACTAAATTATATTTAAAATATATGTTTACGGAAGTGTTTTATGGATTTAATGAGCGTGTAATATTTTGAAATTTTAGTTATTGTTGTTTATGTATTTAACAGTAATAATTTAATAATTTAATAATGTGTTGAGAGAAGTTTGTTGCGTGGGTAGTGATAGTTTTATAAAACTTGATAATTATTTAGTAAATATTTAAAATAGTTTAAAGTACTTAGCTGTAATTATAGTTGCCAAAGTCGAGCAAGTTACTAGACTTAACTTTAACTGTCGTAATAGATTATGTCACTATATTAGAATTGACTTTAGCCCAAGTTTAAATTTTAAAAATAAAAATACCAGCTTTATGTAAGATTTTTAACCGAGTAATATGTATTTATAAATTTCATTTTTAGAGTTTATTTTTATTTTATTCTTTCGTGCACTGCTGAGTGGTAATGAAAATTTATAAATTATGCGGGCGGTTTGTGTCGCTATATACATTTAAGTCGATGAACTTTCAATTATTAATGTGATAACTTTTCCTTGTATTTTTTATCAACTGTAGTTTTATAGTTAAAATAATTTTGTTTTAAAAGTTATTATTTATTGATAAAAATTACTAAGTTTAAATTTCGGATTTATATTTAAACATAGTTATTATTAATTGCAGCCTTTTAAATGCACTTGTAAGGTGATCTGGTTTATTGGTTCAAGTTTTTTTTTCTTTTTGTTATTATAAATAGAATCTTTTATTTTTCTACGTCTTACGTAATTTATGTATTTGTTATAAATATATTTTCTTGATTTTTTTCTAAATTATTTTATAAAAAATTTATTGTAATTTTTTTAAGAAACTTTTAGTTTGTTCTTGAAAAATTTTAAATTGTTGGAAAAATTTTTTCAAGATCGAGTATGTAATAATTACATATAAATTATGATACAAAAATAAAAAATGATTTGATCAAGGATTCTATATTGAAAACTCAGGGTTACATAAAACAGGTTTTTGTATTTACAATTATCTTAATCTATATGTCTTAAACTGTTAAATTTAAAATGGTAAATAACAAATTATAAATAAATAAATTTATATAAAAAAAGAAACATTATCAGGATTTAAATATTTAACCAATTAAATAATATTGCTATTAGTTTTTTTGTCTGTTTTTTAATCTCGACAATTGATCATTAATTATTAATTAATTAATTTCTAATAGTTACCATGTTAACTAAATATTTAATAATTAAAGATGCGCTCAAGTATTTCGTTATTGAAATTTAAATAATTTTAAATAAAAATTAATTTGGTAGATATTGGATAATTTTTTTAACAAATAAATTATGGGAAAAAAAGTTGACTTGTATAAATTTAAAAAAATTACAAATGCATTAATTAATTTTAAGCGTTCTAACAATTGAAAGTGAAAATTAAAAAAAAAAAAAACTTTCATTTGTAAAAAAACTATTATTTATAAACTATTATTGTTAAAAAAAAATTGTAAAAAATTTTTATTAAGCAAAATTTGACACAAAAATAAAAATTAATAATTAAAATCTAAAAAAAATTTTATAAAATTAAAATAAGAATTTTTGAAGTTAATTAAAAAAAATGTTTTTAATTTGTTATAAAATTTTCCAAAAATAATTATTTATAAACTTTTACTGTTAAAAAAAATTGTAAAAAATTTTTATTTCAAAAAATTTGTGATAAAAAATTTTTTTAACAATTAAAATTTTTATTAAGCAAAATTTGACACAAAAATAAAAAAAATTATAATTAAAATCTAAAAAAAATTTTATAAAATTAAAATAAGAATTTTTGCAAATTAATTTTTTAAAAAATTATTAATTTGTTATAAAATTTTCCAAAAATAATTATTAATAAACTTTTATTGTTAAAAAAAAATTGTAAAAAATTTTTATTTAGAAAAAATTCCAATTCAAAATTTCTAAAAATAAAAATTTTTCTAAGCAACATTTGTCTCAAAAAAAAATAACAGTTAAAAGTTGAAGAAAAAATGTCAACTCATTATTTGTAAAAATAATAAGTACGAGAACAAAAACTTTTAATAGGTCATAAAACATAAAAACGTTTAGCGTAATATTACATAGAAGGAAAAAGGTGATGTGAGGGGACAAAGATTTTTTATCTTGAAAAATATGAGACTAACATACCAACAAAGATTGATTGGAAAGTGCAAGGAGAATATCTAAACATAGATGGTTTTTTTATTGCATACAACCTAACCGTGGATATAATATATGATATGGATGGACACAGCATCGAGTACGAGGAGCAGAGGATAGATTTGTGTACATCATCCGAGCTTTGTATCTGTCCTTGCTGCTCACGCTCATTGTCGCGTAACAAATTTATACAACATAACACTCCAACGTATGGCTCACAGCCACGTCACACTTTATCATCCGCGAGCACACGTTGCACGGGAAAAACGATCAATGGTCCCTTCTTTCTCTCTCGAACGCTATTTAGCCCTCGGTTTCAGCCACACCACCCAAGCCCTCATCCGTACATTTACACACACTCTTTTCCTTTGGTAAATGCTAAGGGTACCGAATCCCTTATTTCTTATTGATTTTTCATCCACGTGTCATTTTTTATTATTTACATTTTTTTTTCCAGTTCGGAGCTGGAATAATTTTTTTTATATTGAAAAAATTTTCTAAAGAATTCTGAATAAAAATTACAAAAAAATGGAATTTATATTTTTAATTTTAGTATGTAAAAATATTTAATTTGTATAATTTGTATGCTAATGAATGTTAATTTAGTTATTAGAAATTTTTTATGAAATTAAAATAAGGTAGACCTAGTTATTGACACTGGCCTAGTTGTTTGACACATGCAATTTTATTTTAATTAAAAAAATAAAATATCAAAAAATTAATTATCTTAAAAATTATATTTATTAATTTATTAGAGTTGATTTTTTTTTTTATTTAAAATAAAATTGCAAGTGTCAATAACTGAGTCTTTTACCTTACTTGAAGCTTTTGATTTTTAAGTATTAAAAATTTTTTAAATAAATTAGAGTTTAAAATATTAAAAAAAATTTTAGAAAATAATTTTAAATAAAATTAAACGATAGTCTCATTTAAAAACACAGGGACTAACATTTTTTAAAAATTTTTCTTATAAATAAAATTTACATTCTAAATTGATAAAAAATTTGATTTTAACAGTGGTGCTAAATATAAAAAAAAAATTTTTTTAAATGTTAGATTGGTTATTAAAAGTACTAAAAAATTAGGTCAAAAAATTTTGCTGTGTTTTGAAATGGGACAGCCTTAGAATTATCAAGAAAAAAAATTATTTTTATGAAAAAAAAGTCTGGGGTGCTTTTTAATTAAAAAAATAAAATGTTCTCAAAAAATCAATTATCTTAAAATTTATAACTTAAAAATTATATTTATTAATTTTTTAGAGTTGATTTGTTATTTTTAAATAATACAAAATTGCAAGTGTCAATAACTGGGTCTTGTACCTTGATTTTTATTATTTTCAATAGAAATTTTTTTTTAATTTATTTACACTGATTTGAATTTATCAAAAATTGTCAATTTTTGAGTTTAAAAAATTATATGCATCTAAAAAATTTCAAAAATCATTTTAAAAATAAAAAAAAATTTTTTTATTTTTGTAAGAAAAAAGAATTTTTAATAATAATTGTGCCAAAAATAATAAAAATTTTCAAAATTCAGTATGATATTATCAAAGTAAATTATAATGGAATAAAATTAGTATAAAAAATTTTCTAATTGCTTGCATCAAAAAATTTTAGCGTGGCTGAGTGCAAAGACCGCTTTTTATACACTCAAAAAAACAGGGTTCAAATCCTGACGCGGGTAATTTGTAAGCTCAAAAAAATTTAATTTTTTTTTTTTTAAATTATTCTAATAGAAAAAATTTTTTTAAACAAGTTATTCTATAAAAATAATAAATTTCGACTTAATTAATAAAATTATCACTCAAAAGCCCTTGAACGTCAGAACAATAGAGATAGTAATTAATTAAATAAATTAGCCTGAATTATTACATATCGATCTCTGTTTATATTTACTAACACAATCTGACAATTAGTTATGTCAATTATTATCAGATGTAACATATTATATTAAATTCCGGTTGTTCACGGATGCAGAATACAACATAGTCGATAATATCGTAACTTTGATGTAGGTCAACTTGGAGAGAATCTCTCATCGCAAAATTGTTTTCAATGTAACTAGTAATTTATCCAATGAGTTAATTACCGTAAATTAAAAATTATGAATAATAACAATAATTAATTATTAATTAAAATACTAATTAGTGTTTTATTTGTTTCAGAATTGCCAGCCGAGGAGGGTGAGTTGATAAAAATAATCTCAGTGATAGTTGAGATAAAATTTTCCTGTTTGCTTCCAAGAGATTTATATCCAGCTTAATTAATTGAGATAACCAAGAGACTCGATTAATATTTTAATTTTATTTAAAAAGGCGCAATTAACGAACCTTGGAGTGCGGTTAATAATATGTATTAATAATAGACTGAGGTGTGACGATGACAATGATAACGGACTGTTAAGTATCCGATACTTGTTCTTTACTTCAATGTCCCTCGTAAGCCTCGTTATTATATTTAAACAATATTTACGCGGTATAAAACATACATTGTCTTCATTATGAGGGAAAATAATGAATAATGATAATAATAGTAATACGTAATATTAAAAAAAAAAAAAAATAAGTAGCACATTTATATAAAAAAATATTCAATTGAAAAGACAGTAGTGACGTCTTTTCATTGCATTGCGTTGGTAATCGCAATGCTATAAAGGTAAAAAAATAGTCATCGGTTGTTGCATTAATTTACGCGTCATAAATAAATATATATGATAATTTTATCAGTTAAAATTAACTTGAACTCAATTAAAAAGATAGACTAAAACTCTAGATCCAGACGATTGTTAGATTAATCAATCAGCAAACAATTTTAAGTTTTTTAAGTCTCAAGATTTTGATTGTTTTATTTGTAAATGATAAATAATCATAAAGTGTGTTATTATTATTATTATTATTATTATTATTATTATTATTATTTATTATTTTCAATAATAATAATAATAATAATAATAAACAAAATGATGAAAAATTATTATTATTGTTATTTTTTTTTTATCGCGAATGATAATAATTAAATAATATTTAGCATTAATTAAGCACAGTAGTTTTGTCGAAGAGTTTTAATGACGTCAATAGTACGCAAGACATTTGCCATCAAGGTCGCGGTGACTCGATTGGTGTCTTACTGTTTAGTTGTAAGTTCCGCTATTTAATGCATGACCAACAATCGCTGTATTTAAATACCGATAATTATCCGCGGGTTACTTTGGTTTAAATGAGGCGAACGAGGGCTTAATGAATGACTTGCAGAACACACATGGCCCGTGGTATCGATAAACCTCAAATACGGGCCATGTGAGTTCTCAATAACTCAAGTAAAACTTCCGGCGACGTATGATGTTATATATAACCGATACATGTGCTTTGTTTTATTATTATTACCAGTAGTTTTGTTTTGTTTTGTTTTCATCTAAACTTTTAATTGGATATTGTTTCAGGAAAGAGCATTTGGCAACTTGTTTTAGAACAATTCGATGATCTTTTAGTTAAGATTCTTCTGTTAGCCGCTATCATTTCTTTCGTAAGTATTTTTTATTTATTTATTTCAATTTTTTGTTTTATTAAACAATTTTCATTTTTTTTTTTATTATACTTTTAAGATTATAAAAGTTTGCTTTGATGTAAAAAATTTTTATCAATAGATTATTGATAAAGAAATTGAAAAAAATTTTTTTTATTGAATAATTATTATGAAAATTAATTTAGCAGATATTTGATAATTTTTGTAACAAATAAATTCTGGCAAAAAAATTGAAGAAATTTTTAAAAATTAAAAATGCAATTTTTTAAAAATAATTTTTTTGTTAAATAAAATTAAAAAATTATCAAGTGACTGCTAATTTTAATATCACATAATTATTTTATAAATATGATAATTTTTTTTCTACAATTGTTTCGTCAAAACAAATTTTTTGAGATTCAATTTCTGACCAGGAAAACCCAAAATTTAAATTAGTATACATAACCTACTTTTTAAAAATTTTTTAATAAAACAAACTATTTTTTTTTTAATAATTTATTAAAAAGTAAATATTTTTTAATGTCATATTTTGTTGAAAAAAAATAAAAAAATTTTTTTTGATTAAAAAAAACTTAAATTTCTATCCGAAAAAGTTCGAAGTTAGCCGAACAATAAACTATCAAACATAACCTACTTTCGAACAAAGTTTCAATAGAAAAAACATTAAATACAAAGAAAACAAATAAAAATTAATTTAGCAGATATTTATTAAATTTTAATAATTTTTTTAACAATTAAATTACGGCAAAAAAAAAAGAAAAAAAAATTGACATGTAGAAATTTAAAAAATTAAAAATGCAATTTTTAAAAAATTCATTTTTAAAAAAATTATCAAATGACTGCTAACTTTAATGTCATAGAAAATAAATGATACTGAAGTTAGTTAATAATGTCAATTTTTTTAATTTTTATAACAAATCAATAATAAAAAAATGCTTCTAAAAATTTTCACCAAGAATTTTTTTTAATTTTCAAAAGTAAAATTTTTTTCATAATAATTTCATTGCTAAAAATTTCTAATGTCTTAACTTCAGTGTCCTGAAAATAATTAAACTTAAACATTAAAACCCACTTTTTTTCAACAAAAAAAAAAATCATTAAAAAAAAACTTTTAAAATATTTTAATTTTCTTTAACTAAAAATTAATCCAATAAAATTTTCCAGGTATTAGCTTTATTTGAAGAGCACGATGACGCGTTCACAGCCTTCGTGGAGCCATTCGTTATCCTGCTCATCCTTATCGCGAACGCGGTGGTGGGAGTGTGGCAGGAGCGTAACGCGGAGTCCGCGATTGAAGCCCTGAAAGAATACGAGCCAGAGATGGGAAAAGTCGTCCGAGCCGACAAATCCGGAGTCCAGCGGATCAGAGCCAAGGAAATTGTCCCCGGAGACATCGTTGAGGTGTCTGTAGGAGACAAGATCCCAGCTGACATCCGTCTGATAAAGATCTACTCCACCACCCTCAGGATTGACCAGTCCATCTTGACCGGAGAGTCAGTCTCAGTGATAAAGCACACTGACGCGATCCCCGACCCCCGAGCCGTCAACCAGGACAAAAAGAACATCCTCTTCTCCGGAACGAACGTCGCCGCCGGTAAGGCCCGAGGTGTAGTAATGGGAACTGGTCTGAACACCGCTATTGGTAAAATCCGTACCGAGATGTCAGAGACAGAAGAAATCAAGACTCCCCTGCAGCAGAAATTGGACGAGTTCGGTGAGCAGCTGTCGAAGGTCATCACCGTCATCTGTATCGCCGTCTGGGCCATCAACATTGGCCACTTCAACGACCCAGCTCACGGTGGCTCCTGGATCAAGGGTGCCATCTACTACTTCAAAATCGCCGTCGCTCTTGCTGTCGCTGCTATCCCTGAAGGTCTGCCTGCTGTCATCACCACTTGTCTTGCCCTGGGAACCCGTCGTATGGCCAAGAAGAACGCCATCGTCAGATCTCTGCCCTCCGTCGAAACTCTTGGTTGTACTTCTGTAATCTGCTCTGACAAAACCGGTACTCTCACCACCAACCAGATGTCCGTCAGTCGCATGTTCGTCTTTGAGAGGATCGAAGGCAATGACAGCGCTTTCAACGAGTTCGAAATCACTGGATCCACTTACGAACCCATTGGTGATGTCTATCTCAAGGGATCCAAGATTAAGGGCGCTGACTATGAAGCTCTTCATGAGCTTGGTACTATCTGTATCATGTGTAACGACTCTGCTATTGATTTCAACGAATTCAAACAGGCTTTCGAGAAGGTTAGTTGGTTTTTTTAGGAGGTTTAGATGTATTGGTGATGAATAGGGCCAGGACTTTAAATGAGCATTCATATGTTAAACCTCAAATTTGAACAAAGAAAAAATGCCAACTTTCTGGCCTTAGTGATAAAATTAACCTTTCAGTACCTGCGCCATAAGATTTTTACTCAAGCTCAGTTTCAATCTCAATTATTTATTTAAATTTAAATGGAAAGACCACTTAAAAATTTTTTTATCTTCTTATTATAATTTTATATTCTTAAAATTTGTGCAATAACGCATCAAATTTGTTTAGAAATAACGAAAAAAATGATTTTTGGAAGAGACGAGATTTTTTCTCATGGCAAGAGTATTAAAGGTTGAAAATTGAGCTTTTAGACTTCCTACGGCGTAGATCGGCTCTTTTTGGTAAACGCTCCGCCGACATATTTTCTTAGATCGTATGATAATTAAATGTGAGATTTTTTTCTCATGGCGAGAGTAAAGCAGAGTTGCGAATTATTTAATTAAAAATTTTACATTTTTCATTTAAAATAAAATGAGCAATTGTAATTTTTTAATTATCAAATTTTTTTTTCAAATTTTTACTTGAAGTAATATTAATTATTTATTTTTCTTAAAATGCATCAATTGGATTTTTTTAGTTTTTCATTTTTTCATAAGCGTTTTAATTAAATTTTATCAATTACTAATTTTTACTCAGTAAAGAAGGTGAAGCGAATAACGTGGGTACTGAAGGATTAATGGATCTTTTTTTTATGGAAAATTTAGATTTATGTCTAAAAAATTAAAAAAAAAAAGCTGATAAATAAAAATTAAATTTTAAAAATATTTGTAATAAATAGTTTAATTTTTTGAAATATTTATGAAGAAATTGATTAGATAGAAATTTTAGATTATTTTTAAAAATTAATATCAAGCTTATTATGATGAAATTAATATATTATTTATTTCTTTATAAAATTTTTTCTAAAATTTTTATTAAGAAAAGTTTTATAACTAGTAATTAAATTTTATTTTTAAAAATATTTACAATTAATAGTTTGATATACAAGTTATTTATTTTTTTATTTTTATCAAGAAATTGATTAGATAAAAAGTTTAGATTAATTTAATATATTTGTGTCAAGTTTATTATGATTTTTGATGGTCATAATTAACGTTATTGATTTCATCATAAAGAAGGCTGTTGTAAACTTTTTATCAAGAGAAATTTTATAAAAAAAAAATTGTAATTAATGGTTTGATAGATAAGGTACTTTTTTTGAAGATTTTTATGAAGAAATCGATCAGATAAAAATTTTAGATTAAATTAATAAAACTGTGTCAAGTTTAATATGGTTTTTGATAATAATATTATTTATTTTTTCATAAGATGATTTTTGTAAAATTTCTTCAATACTTTTAAAATTTTTATTTTAAGAATTTTTTTTTTTTTAAAAACGAAAAAATAATCAATTAATAACAATAATTAACCTTCATTAAAAAAAATTGGTAATTTAAAATTTGATGTGCAAATAATTTTTTTAAAGAGTTTCATGAAGAAATTGATTAGATAAAAATTTTAGATCTTTAATAAATTTATGTCAAGTTTATTACAATATTTTGTAGATACTGAAATTTATTATTATTATTTTCTGCATCAAAATATTTTCAATATTTTGAAATGTTTACTTAAAGAAATGGAAAAAAAATCAATGCATAAAAAATAATTAAACTTGATCGTAAAAAAATATTTACTAGATTTAAATAAAAATTTAAAAATTACTTTAATAAAATTTCCATGTCAAAATTTTACCAATCAACTAAAATTAATTTAATAAGGTAAAAGACCTATTTATTGACACATGAAATTTTATTTTAATTAAAACAAACAAATTAACTCTGATAAATTAATAAATATAATTTTTTAATTAGAATAAAATTGCAAGTGTCAAACAACTAGGCCAGTGTCAATAACTGGGTCTTTTACTTTAACATTTATAACATAAAAAAAAAGATTTTAATGTTTGCTCCACAAAATTACTAATAATAACTTTGATTATTATTAAAGGTCGGTGAAGCCACTGAAACAGCTTTGATTGTCCTCGCCGAGAAAATCAACCCCTTCGGAGTCCCCAAGACCGGATTGGACAGACGTACAGCAGCCATTGTCGTCCGCCAGGACATTGAGACCAAATGGAAGAAAGAATTCACCCTTGAGTTCTCCCGTGACCGTAAATCTATGTCATCTTACTGCGTACCCCTCAAGCCCTCAAAACTTGGAACTGGCCCGAAATTGTTCGTCAAGGGAGCGCCTGAGGGAGTTTTGGACAGATGTACGCACGCACGTGTCGGCACCAGCAAAGTTCCTCTTACTTCCACCCTGAAGAACCGCATCTTGGACCTCACCCGTCAATACGGTACTGGCCGCGACACTCTCCGTTGTCTGGCTCTTGCCACCGCTGACCACCCAATGAAGCCCGACGAGATGGACCTCGGAGACTCGAACAAGTTCTTCATGTACGAAAAGGACCTCACCTTCATCGGAGTCGTCGGTATGTTGGACCCGCCACGTAAGGAAGTTTTCGACTCAATTGTCCGTTGCCGGGCCGCTGGAATCCGTGTCATTGTCATCACTGGTGACAACAAAGCCACCGCTGAAGCCATCTGCAGACGTATTGGAGTCTTTACTGAAGATGAAGACACTACTGGTAAATCTTACTCTGGTCGTGAATTCGATGACTTGCCCATTGCTCAACAGAGGGAAGCTTGCTCCAGGGCGAGATTGTTCTCCCGTGTGGAGCCTTCTCACAAATCCAAGATTGTTGAATACTTGCAGAGCATGAATGAAATTTCTGCTATGGTATGTTTTTTTTTTGTTACATTCACTTTTTGTAAAAAACGTTTAGTCAGAATTTTTTTTAAATTTACTTTTGGGTTTTTCTTTAAGGATAAAAAAATTTTTGGTAATTATTTACAAGTGGGGTCAAATCTTCAACTAGTTAAATTTTTTCTTTAATAAAATTGTTATAAAAATCCAAAAAATTGACAGTTAATTTCGGTATCATAAAAAAATGCTTCAAAAATTTTTACTAGTAATTTTTTTTTCAATTTTCACATGTAGAATTTTTTTTATAATAATTTAATTTATATGAAATTGTAAAAAATTTTTTAGTGTTAGTTAACTAGAGTTTCTTAAAAAAAATTACTAAACAAATAATTTTTCAAATCTTCAACTAGTGAAATTTTTTCTTTTAGTTTTTTAGTAATAATTTTTTCAATAAAATAAATCAAAATTTTTAGATGACGGCTAATTCAATTTTCATAAATTTCTTACTTTAAAATTTTTGAGGTTATCAAAAAGATTTTCCAAAAAAAATAAATAATCCTGAAATCGGAAGTTTGATATTTTTTTTTATTAATTAAATTAAAAGTAAAAAAATATGGTAATTATTTACAAGTGGGGTCAATCCCATTTTGGGCGATAACTAGGTGAAAAGTTAAAATTTTCAAAATTTTTTTTTTATTCTGCTTGTTTTTACCGCGTATTTATGATAAAAAATGTGGTGAAAGAAAAAAAATAAGATTTCAATAGCTTTTTTGCCTTCAAAAGTTGGAAAAAAATTTGGCTCATGTTTTTGGATAAAATTTCTATTTTATATTTTTTTTTGAACAGTACATAAAAAAACAAAAAATTAAAAAAAAAAGTTGAATATCACGATTTTCTAAAAAATTTATAAATTTTTTTTGAAAATTTGTTAAAATTGTGATAACCAATTTTTTTTTTTAAACTGTTCATTTTTTTATGTATTTTAAAAAAAAAAAACATCAATAAAATCAAATAAGGCGCGCAGTAGCCTATCGGATCCGGCCCTTGCTTACCAAAGCATTGGACCGGGTTCGAGTCCGGCGTACACCAATGAATATTTTCAATATTTAAGTGTATTATTCTGCTCAGCCCAAGAAATAAAACGAGTTCCAATCTCAAAAGTTTACCCCCTACCGTAGTCGCTCATGACCTTAGTAGTTTATGCCAAATTCAAATAGAAATTTCGTTCAAAAAAGTGAAAATTAAAATGGTGACCCCACTTGTAAATATTTACCAAATTTTCAAAATTCAGTATGATATTATTAAAGTAAATTATAATAGAATAAAATTTGTATAAAAAATTTTTTGATTGCTTGCATCAAAAAATTTCAGCGCGGCTGAGTGCGAAGACCGCTTCTTACACACTCAAAAGAACGGGGTTCGAATCCCGACGCGGATAATTTAAAAATATTTCCTAAAAATTTCAATTCAATTAATATTTTCTGAGATATTTTACAATTTTTTTCAATTTCCAAAATATTCTAAAAAAGTCAGACTGAATTTTTGTTGAAAAAAATTTTTGTTAAAAAATTTTTTTTTTTAATAATTTGGATAATTTTTAAATTGAATAAAAATTGATAATTATTGAGCTGTAAATTATACAAAAATAATATAGAGAAAAAATTAAAAAAAAAATTCTGTTTTAAAAAAATTGGGAAATTTTTTTAAATCTTGATTGACTTAAAAATTTTTTTTTAATCATAAAAAAAAATACATTCTAACAATAAAATTATTTCCCACAGACTGGTGATGGTGTAAACGACGCTCCAGCTTTGAAAAAAGCCGAAATTGGTATTGCCATGGGTTCAGGAACTGCTGTCGCAAAATCTGCGTCTGAGATGGTGTTGGCTGACGACAATTTCTCATCAATCGTCGCCGCTGTTGAGGAGGGTCGTGCCATTTACAATAACATGAAACAATTCATCCGTTATCTTATCTCTTCCAACATTGGTGAAGTTGTCAGGTGAATTTATAGCTCCATACTCAACCAACCAAACAAACAAAAAATAAATCTAGATATCTAGATTAAAATTAAAGCAAAAAAAGAAAAATTAATTTAAATTTGAATTTAACTTTACAGTATTTTCTTGACTGCCGCTCTTGGTCTTCCTGAGGCCCTTATCCCAGTTCAGCTCTTGTGGGTCAACCTCGTAACTGATGGTCTTCCAGCTACCGCCCTCGGTTTCAATCCACCCGATCTCGACATCATGGACAAGGTACTTTGAAATAACAAAAATAAAACAAATTACAATTACAATCAAAATTAGTGCAACAATTAATTAAGTAATTATTGATTTAAACTTACAGCCACCGCGTAGAGCTGGTGAATCATTGATCTCCGGATGGTTGTTCTTCCGTTACCTCGCTATTGGTGGCTACGTCGGTGCCGCTACCGTAGGATCCGCTGCCTGGTGGTTCATGTACGCTTCTACCGGACCTCAGCTCAGTTATTACCAACTCGTAAGTATTCCTGAGTCAAAAAAAATTAACTAGCAATCTTGCAGTCACTATGTGACTGCCGTGACTTGTGAACTATAAATAAATAAAATTTTGCTTTATTCGATAATGACTTTTGTTAAATTGCACTGTACTTTCTTAAATATTGACATTTTTAAAGATATAAGCTCATCCTGATGTTACACTCATCAAGAGCTTTCATTTGAGTACCCACATGCATTTTCATATATTTTTCATATATACATATATATAATATATATAAATATATGAAAAATTGATGTGGGTACTCAAATGAAAGGTCTCGATGAGTGTAGTGTCATAGTGAGCTTATATCTTTAAAAATGTGAATAGTTAACAAGATACAAGGTCATTTCTTAATTATATTAAATTGCACTGTACTTTCTTAAATATTTAAGTTTTTAAAGATATAAGCTCATCCCGATGGTACACTCATCAAGAGCTTTCATTTGAGTACCCACATTCATTTTCATATATTTTTCATATATACATATATACAATATATATAAATATATGAAAAATTGATGTGGGTGCTCAAATGAAAGGTCTCGATGAGTGTAATGTCATAGTGAGCTTATATCTTTAATAATGTCAACAGTTCACAAGATCCGAAGTCGTTTCTTAATTATTGATAATTAGTTTCTAATCTATGTATGAATAATTATTTCAGACTCACCACTTGGCCTGCATTGGAGGTGGTGATGAATTCAAAGGTGTTAACTGCAAAATCTTCACAGACCCCCACCCCATGACAATGGCGTTGTCTGTACTTGTAACTATTGAAATGTTGAACGCAATGAACAGGTATTTTATTTTTTTAATTGAAAAAAATTTCAGGTGATTTATTATTTTAAATAATTTTATTATCAAATATTTTTCTTTGTTTAGTTTGTCTGAGAACCAGTCATTGATCACTATGCCACCATGGTCGAATATGTGGCTCATTGCCTCCATGGCACTTTCATTCACACTCCACTTTGTCATTCTTTACGTTGAAGTTCTTTCGGTAAGTTTATCTTTTTTTTTTATTTAATTTTATTCAAAAAATATTATTAGTATTAACTATTTAAAAATAATTAGTTATTAATTCTTTAATATTTTTAAACTAAAAAATTTTTTTTAATTTGTAAAGTAAAAGCCCCAATTATTGACACTATAAAAGACAAAGTTATGATTTCATTTATTTAAACCTTTTTTAAATACGTGTCAATAGTACTTAAGTGACTATAGATAATTAAATTTGTTTAAAAATAATTTAGGGTGTTAATATTTAGACCCCTGTCAATAATTGGGACTTTTACTTTAGTTATTAATTCTTTAATATTTTTGAAAAATTTTTTTTAATTTGTATCAGTATTTTAAAAAATCCCGCTAGAGGCGCCACTGTCAAATTCTGTTATCTTGGGATTCCCGTAATTCTAAAAAAAAAAAAAAAAAACCTGAGACACGGTAGTGTCCCGAATCTAGTACATGTTTGATATAAAAATTACACCTTTTAATGAAATAATTTTTCTAATAAAGTTATTTAAGTATTTTAATGATAAATATGACTTGAAAAAATTAATATGATAAAAAAATTAACAAATCAAAATTATTATCCGCAGTCTGTGTTCCAAGTGACTCCATTATCAGGAGATGAATGGATGACTGTAATGAAGTTCTCAATACCTGTAGTACTGCTCGACGAGACCCTGAAGTTCGTCGCCAGAAAAATAACTGACGGTGAGAATCCCATATACACCATTCACGGGATTATTCTTATGTGGGCCGTATTTTTTGGACTATTACTCTACGGGCCCTTTTAGATTATCCTTTTTTTTTTTACAAACTTTTATTAATTTAAATTAAACAACAATAACTAGCTTAAAACAGCCATCGATAGCTAAAATACATGGAAATTCGCAGGAATTTCGGACTTGCTGCATTTATTATTTTACCGAGAGGCTAATTAATCCGAAGCGTTTTGCTCCTAATCCCGGCATGCTCTTGGTCAGTTAACCTCAAATGCATTTAACCTTACCTCACAACAAGAACCTGTGTAGAAAAAATCAAACGAGTGCCTTTCTATTGATAATCGCACTCTCCTTCCCTTAATTATATTAATTTTTTAATTAATAATAAAAATTAATTAACTTGCCAAAATATTGAAACTTCGCACAAATATTAAAACAATCCTTGTAATGACAATACTGTTAACTGACTAAAAGCTTGCTGCCTCACCGATACCTTCTAACGAAGCATTTAAATATTTCGAGCGTACAATAGTTTAATAAAATATATCCTTCTAATATCTAGTGATATTAATACTAATTGTAAATAATATTAAAAAGAGTGAATAAACGCGAGAAATGCTGTATATTGTTAGCTTATCTAGTAATTGAGCTTCTAAGTGAAAGAATCGGTGAAGATTAATGTAATCGCATGTATTTTTTTGTACCACAAACAAAGTGTGTTAATTTTAACATAACCTCCGAACAATCGAGAGGGCGTTGTGTTAATCTTCCGGAACAAAGCAAACAGTAGCTTATGCATGACAAGTCCTCATTCTTGCGCCTTCCTGTTAATCAATAAAGTTTATTATTGATTAATTAATTAAATGATTGATTAAAAATAAAACAATAAAGATTTTTAAAAATGAGAACAAGGCATTGAGGCGATTGAGTGGTAAGTTGCGGTAACGCGATAGGTAATTTATTAATTTATCGTTTGTTATTAAAATAAAGAATATTAATATGTTAAAAAAAATTGTAATAATTATATTAATATTCTTTATTAATAGATAATTTAAGTAAAGCCGATTCTGATATAACGAATCTGTTTTTATAAACAAAACAATAGTTTTAACCCGTAACGTTCATTCCAACTGTGTGTGTGTTTATCCCATTATTATTATTAGCGTGTGTTTATGCTTTATTTAAGAATTTATTATTATGTAAGCCACTCATCTATATTAATATTATATTATATATGTTTATTAGGGTGGCGCAAAAAAATTGATTATTTTTTTTTTTTGAGTTTCGAGTTAAAAAAAAATTAGTTTGTGATTTTTTTTAAGAGCCCTAATTTAAAAAAAATTAATTCATTATTTTAAAAAATTAGCTAATCAATTTATTTAAAAAAAGTAATTAATTAATTAATTAAGTAAAAAAAATTAATTAATTAATTAAAACAAATTTCTAATTTAATAATAATAATATTTTTTTTTTTAATTGTAACAACTATTATTAATTTTATGAACTATAAAAGTGTTAATCTTTATTCATACAATCTAGCGCTGTGTTCGCTTCAAATTTTTTTAAATTTCAAAAATCGTCAAAAATCAATTTTTTTTTTTTGTTTAAATTATTCTCTTTACGGTGTAATTTATTAGACAAAAAAAAAATTAGTTTCTGAAAGTTTCAGTTCAAAATTAAAATTTTGAGAGGTCGCTTATAATTTTTTTTAATTTATTAGTGCATTACTTAAGATTTTTTTGAGCGATCTTTTAATATTCAAATTAAAATTCGACGCATTTTTTTAATTTTATTCAGTTCAAAAATCAATAAAAATACGCGGGATGAACTTAAAGTCAACTACAATATAAAAAATATAATTTTTTTTAATTTAATAATTTTATTTAAAGTTAAAGCTGGTGATATGACCACAGGAGTTAAAACCAACTTTAAATAATTAATTGAAGAAAGAATAAATTATGAGCGACCTCTTAAAATATTTTTTTTGAGCTATCTTTTGTAGAGAGCTTTTAAAACATTAAGAACTAACATTTTTTCACTCGAGACTCAAAAAAAAAAAAAATATTTGGTTTTTTTGCGCCACCTTAATGTTTATAAATACAATAATATATAAATATATAAATATAAATATGAGGGCGAGTCGTGCGCATTTTTAGTCGCTGTCCTGCGTCGAGTTTTTTTATTTCACCGAGCATCAACCATCCGGTTTATTTATTTATTTAAATTTAAAATTTTCAAATAATTTTTTATTTATTCGTATCTAAATCTGACTAGACGTAGGAAAATAATTTAATATCCATCGCCGAAAAATAATAGTCTTGAGTTCAGTTTATTAATAAATAATATAAATACTGTTTCTAGCTCAATTTATAGAAAAGTAATTCAATTGGATTAATTGATATTAATGATATTGATAAATAAAATAGTTTAAAATCCACTCTACAATTTTTTATAACCGAAACAAGACTGAGGCGAGTGGTTATTGTTGAAACAATTATTGTAAAAAATAATAATTAATTATTAATAATACATATATGCAGATTTATAGACATAGTTAATTAATTAATTGTATTTTAATCGATTGATTAATAGTTAAGGTTTTGGTATGGGCATAGATTAGTAATTCATTTGTTCAATGGCGCTCGTACTTTGTACAATAAGGGTTAGATTAATTATTCAATATTTGCACCGTTTTTTTTTTTTTTTTTTTTTTTTTTCATAATTAATCAATTCCTTCATTAATTTTTGATTACATTTACAATATTTTGCTCATATATTCAAAACTTTATCTTTATTAATTATTAATTAATCAGTGCTTGATATAATTAATCTAAAAACAATGAAAATTTTATATTGTTCTTATTAATATATTTTTTTTTAATTAATTTTTTGTTATTAACTATTAGTTAATTAATTTTCAATGATTAATTATGTGGAAAGTAGTTGAAGATTATTGAAATAATTTTTTTTTATTAAAAAAAAAGTTGTTAGGAAAAACTAACCTATAAAGGAACAATGGAAATTTTTTTGTTTTTATTGAAATTCGCGATAAGTCTAATTAAAATATTAACAAATTATTAAAAAATGAATAATTAGAAAGTAAATTATTAAAACTAAGGTTATACAGTTGAAAAACTTATTGTTAGAAACTAACCTATAAAGAAACAAAGAAAATTTCTTTGTTTTTATTGGAATTTTCTATTAATCTAATTGACAATTTGACAAATCAAGAAAAAAATGGATAATTAGATAGGAAATCATTGAAAATTATTGAAATAAAGATTAGAGAGCCAAAAAAGCTTGTTAGAAAAATCTAACCTATAAAGGAACAATAAAAATTTTTTGGTTTTATTTAAAATTCTTGATTAATGTTTTTAAAAAATTGAAAATTAATTTAAAAATGAACAATTTGATAAAAAATCATTGAAAATTATTAGAATAAAAATTAGATATCCAAAAAAATTTGTTTAAAAATCTAACCTTAAAAGAAACAATGAAAAATTCTTTATTTTTGTTAAAATTCTTGATTAATGTTATTAAAAAATTGAAAAATCATTATAAAAAGCACAATTAAAAAAAAAAGTCATTGAAAATTATTAAAATAAAAATTAGATAGCAAAAAAAATTTGTTTAAAAAATCTAACCTTTAAAGAAACAATGAAAATTTTTTAGTTTTATTAAAATTCTTGATTAACGTTATTAAAAAAATTGAAAATTCATTAAAAAATGAATAATTAGATAAAAAAATCATTGGAAATTATTAAAATAAAGAATAGAGAGTCAAAAAAGCTTGTTAGAAAAATCTAACCTATAAAGGAACAATAAAAATTTTTTGGTTTTATTTAAAATTCTTGATTAATGTTTTTAAAATTTTTTTTTTTTTTTTTTTTTTTTTTTTTTTTTTTTTTTTTCATAATTAATCAATTCCTTCATTAATTTTTGATTACATTTACAATATTTTGCTCATATATTCAAAACTTTATCTTTATTAATTATTAATTAATCAGTGCTTGATATAATTAATCTAAAAACAATGAAAATTTTATATTGTTCTTATTAATATATTTTTTTTTAATTAATTTTTTGTTATTAACTATTAGTTAATTAATTTTCAATGATTAATTATGTGGAAAGTAGTTGAAGATTATTGAAATAATTTTTTTTTATTAAAAAAAAAGTTGTTAGGAAAAACTAACCTATAAAGGAACAATGGAAATTTTTTTGTTTTTATTGAAATTCGCGATAAGTCTAATTAAAATATTAACAAATTATTAAAAAATGAATAATTAGAAAGTAAATTATTAAAACTAAGGTTATACAGTTGAAAAACTTATTGTTAGAAACTAACCTATAAAGAAACAAAGAAAATTTCTTTGTTTTTATTGGAATTTTCTATTAATCTAATTGACAATTTGACAAATCAAGAAAAAAATGGATAATTAGATAGGAAATCATTGAAAATTATTGAAATAAAGATTAGAGAGCCAAAAAAGCTTGTTAGAAAAATCTAACCTATAAAGGAACAATAAAAATTTTTTGGTTTTATTTAAAATTCTTGATTAATGTTTTTAAAAAATTGAAAATTAATTTAAAAATGAACAATTTGATAAAAAATCATTGAAAATTATTAGAATCAAGATTAGGTAGCAAAAAAAATTTGTTCTTAAAATCTAACCTCTAAAGAAACAATGAAAATTTTTTGGCTTCATTGGAATTTTTGCTTAACATTTTTAAAGAATTGAAAATTAATTAAAAAATGAACAATTTGATAAAAAATCATTGAGAATTATTAAAATAAAAATTAGATATCCAAAAAAATTTGTTTAAAAATCTAACCTTAAAAGAAACAATGAAAAATTCTTTATTTTTGTTAAAATTCTTGATTAATGTTATTAAAAAATTGAAAAATCATTATAAAAAGCACAATTAAAAAAAAAAGTCATTGAAAATTATTAAAATAAAAATTAGATAGCAAAAAAAATTTGTTTAAAAAATCTAACCTTTAAAGAAACAATGAAAATTTTTTAGTTTTATTAAAATTCTTGATTAACGTTATTAAAAAAATTGAAAAT